CAACACAGTTATAAATAATTCTACATATCTAAAATGTAGGACACCGGCGCAAGTAAAAACATGGATAGATAATCAGCGCAAGGCTAAATCAAGGAACTCCGCAAATAGATTAAATAATAAATATGTTGACCATATTTAAAATAAGTGGATTATACTTTTTCGTATATTAATATTAATTTATGTTAAAAAATTTTGGAATTAAAAAAAAATTCATTTTAAATGCATGTATTTAATAACGTCATTTATGTTAATTCACATTATTAATTTTACTTTAACCTAAAGTGATCCAAAACTACATTCAAAATAAATTTGACTCTTAATTTCAATTAAGCCAGTCTGCCACTAAATTTAAAATGTATAAATTTAATAAAATATTGCTGAGTCTTACGTGGTTTAGCGTTATATTTATTTAGTTTAGTGAGTTTTATCGAAATTCACTGTTCCCTAGTCCTCATAACCTCTATATATGAGTCTCTATATTTATATAAAATCAGTATGTTTTTGGGGACAGCTATTTGACTGTTATTTACTAAATTGAAGTGTGAACTGGACCAAATCTCATCGTTCCTGTGTCCTTATAATACACGTTGCTTATGCAAAAAGGTCTGCATATGGCAACCCTGCGTTTTTGTTCCTAAAACTGACCTTATATATAAAGTTCATTATACGGAAAATTTTTATGTTATATACTGAGAGTATTTCGGGAACTGAGTCCTCGTAAAACACGTTACATGGTGTGTACCCAAAATAATGGTTGTATATAAAATTTCTCATAAGTCACGAGGCTATGCTTCTAAGACCGTTAAAATTTCCCAGAGGTTAATTTAGAAGTTCCATCATGATTCCCCAAAGAGAAAACCCCCACTTTTTGGGGTCCCTGAAATCGATGCTCCACATATATATATATATATATATATATATATATATATACATGTGTATATATGTGTATATATATACATGTGTACATCTGTGTGCTGCGTGTTTAATTCGCTCAAAAATTTGCAAAATGTTGCAAACTGTGCGGCAGCAACAGCAATACATAGCCAGAAATTGAAGTGAATTGCGCGCATTGTTCATGGTTTCGTTTTTGTAAGCCTCACACACACTCACACACACACACACATACACAGACTAATGCTCTTGCGTATGTTATATTTGTTTAGCTCTATATGGCGTCAACATATCCGAGCTCAAGAATATACTCCGCCAAATTTTGTAGACATTCGAACTGGTCTTTGGCTTATCAGGCCTGGTAGATAAGATATAGAAACTCGAACAGTTAGTCGATTTATACATAATTCTCTGATCCATTATGTCACAGAGCGGAAATTGGGGCTAAAATTGGAGCCGTCGCTCGAACATTTCCGATTTGAATAACAACAATAAAGAAATGTATAAAAAAAACAACATCTACAAAATGTTGACCGTTGCCCTGACATGAAACGCCTTGATTTATCATCTTGTGGCAACAACAGAGCCTGCAAGAGGAAGCGCTAATTGTGCACATGTTGCAGTTGCACATGCTGGCAACACACACACACGCACACAGCAACACATTCGCATTGGCCTAATTTTGGAAATCGGGATCTTTATCGCTACGCCGCAATACTCGTAACTCGTAACTCGTAACTCGCGACTCGTAACTTGCAACGCACAACGTTCGACTTGCAACTTGCAACTTGCAGTCCGTTTCGGCCCCTTTCGTCCACTTTGGCACCGCTGCAAACGGAGGACAGAGCGAACAATGTAAATATACGAGACGCAATTGCTGCAGGATGGGCCGGCTAAAGTGGAAACGCGAAACGAAGTCGCATAAAACGGAAAGTGCAGCAAATTGTGGCAGCTGCAACATCAATTTTTTTCCTTTTTTTTTTGTTTTTTTTTCTCGCTCTCTTTCAGTTTCCTTGCCTTGCACATTCGCCGATCTTAACTCGACGTCAGGTTCTGCTGGCCATTGGCCTTTTACCGTTCGTTGCAGGCGCTTTTTATTTGATGGCCATTGCCTGACTAATGCGAGTTGTTGTTGCCACTGAAATTGCGGCACGCAAATTGTAACCGACAACATAATCAGGCTTTAATTGTTCTGCGCGGCAACAATGTCCGGCAGCCACAAAAAATTGAAAGATGTCTTAAGTTTCCCAACCAATCAACTCAGCTAGTGTCAAAAATTAGAAACCCCGAGGGTATTTATGTAAATTCTTGGAATTGTCAAGAGATGCTAGACTAGAAATGTTTACATTCCCAAATAGATATTTGAAGGCTTAAAATCATATTTAGCTGACTTCCTGAAAGATGTGAAACATACTTAGGTCTCATACTAAAGTTTTAAACTCGTTCTCCATAAAAGACTTCTCTATTTTTTAGACCCCAAAACATATTTAGATATAAGTTTTCATGTCGAATATTGCTTACATTTAGCCAAAGTAGATCTGGCCAAGGGCAAGTTCGTAGGCACTTCAACACCTCAAACAACTTCCTATAGAGTGCACACACACACACACACACAGGGTAGGCCCATTGAACTTTGTGAAGCGCAACGAAATGTTAGCAGGTTGCAAAGAGGCAAAAAGCAAAAAGTCAAAAGGCAACGGCAAAGGACGCGCAAAAAAATGTACACCTGTGCCGTTTTTTATGAGAACAAAATACAAAATACAAAAGAGACAAACAGAACAACAGCAAAAAAAAATGCGAGTAACTGCGAAAAAAAAAATACAAAAATGGCGAAAAAAGCAAGAAAATGACAACAGCGACAGCAACTGAAAAACGCAGAAAGTGTGTGTGCGTGTGTATGCGTGTGTTTGTGTATGTGTGTGTGCGGCAGCTCTTACAAAGCCGGAGCATAACTTACAAGCAGCAGCAATAACAACCAACGGCAATAAAAAGCCAGAAGTGAGTGTCCTTTACATTTTTTTCTGTTCTTTTTTTTCTGGCATTGCTGCTTCCTGCCAGCGCGGACTTGGACCTGGCCAACGCTCATTATATAGTCAAAGACCATAATTATGTGTTGAAGTTTGTAGATGTTTTAAGTGAGTGAGCCGAGTCGAAGCAGCAGCAAAAAAAAGGCCGAAGAATAATGATAATGGCAGCGAAAACAAAAAAAGAACTCGCAAAAGTGGCAACCAAATACAGTTGCGTTGTAAAGCCATTTTACTTGGCCAGCAATGGGTCTAAGCTAGGATAAGAATAAGCACATAACAGAGATTTAACATTTAGTTTATCTTTGCAGCACTTAGAAACTAAACAAGCAGTTAACATTTAGATTTGCTGTTAACTTTACATGATTATGCCACGCAGTAGAAAATCGACAACATAACAGAGCTGCACAATATTGGAGACAGACTATGTAAACTGTTAACATTCATAGTCAAAGTAAGCATTTACAGTTAACTTTACACGAATATGGTAGGCACTAAACAAAAGACATCATAACAGAGCTGTAGACTATTGGCGAGCCATATCTATCTTTGCTTTGCTTATCTATACACTTTACATTTTACACACTAAGAAAATGTAAGACTAGTTAACATTTGCAGCGCGCATTTACATCTTCCTGTTAAACTTTTTCTCTCTGACAGACTTTTCTGGGCATTTATTTAAACAATCATAAAGACTGCTCAAATCTATATTATAAATTAAATTCATATTAAGAATTTTTCTCTATTTTATTCTATTCCAGATTTTTAACCAAAGGATTTGAGGAAACCAACAACAACCATTTTGGCATATGAAATTGAAAGTAAAATTTCATTTTGGCTCATAATCAAAATTTCAATTTTAATTCAAACCAAAAAAAAAACAAAAAAATGCATTAAAATTAAACAAAAAAATAAACTTCAACTACATTAAATGAATATTAATATTAGTAACGTATAAAACATAACGGAATAATGTTTAATTAATTTGTAAGGTAACCAACAAACAAACAAACGGAAGACAAAGATTTTTAAAATTAAGCCTAACATATTAAGTAATATTATATTGCTAAACGCTATATGAAAAACATATTCTATAAAGCTGCAACTATTTTTTATATATATAAACATATTAACAACAAAAACAACAACAACAACAACAAAGAAAAGCAAATCAAATTTAAAGCAAAAACAAGAGTACAAAATTCATAAGCATCAATTTACAAAAATCAAATATAAAAAAATATATATCACAAAATATCAACAATCTAAATATTCAACAACAACAAAAAAACGTATATATAAATGAATTAATAATGAAGTAATTAAACAAACAACGCATACAAAATACAAATTTACAAATTACAAATTACAAATTTACAAATTTTTCTAACAAGTCGAAGTCTGACACACAACCACAGCACAAGAAAATAAACAACAAAAGTAAAAGTAAAGTAAAAGTAAAAGTAACAAATTTAAGCAACAATTAGCAAATATTATTAAAGTAAATACAAGTTTTTGCATAGCTGCCGTTTACAACAACAACAACAACAAGAACAACAACAAAAAGCATCTTCAACCACGAAAAAAGTACAAAACATTTTGAATTTTCAACTTACAAATTTTTAATAACAATTTAATAGTAGCACTTTTACAACAACAAATTATAAATTAAAAAACAAAAGAACTAAAAAGTAAAAGCAACAAAATAAGCATATATTTATATAAACTCTAAGCCAGAATTAATATTTAAAACAATTTTACAAACTAAACTCAACAAAAAGCACAAAACACGCAAAACCCGTGAGTTCAAAGTTCAAAATACAAATATAAAAAAAAAACACAAATATTACGTAAAAACATAACGAAGAAAAACTACCTCAAGAGAGCAGTGAGCGTGTACAAAAAAAAGTAATAAGAATAATAATAATTTAAACATAAACAAACTATTTATATGCTTGTGTACAAAATATATATATCTATATTTGAACTCTGCAAACATACCCGCACCTCGCCCCACCCAGGAAGACAAACCCGCGCAGCGCAGTGGCATATGAGCTGCGCAGCCATGCGAGCCTGCGGACTTAAATGGCGTCTACAATAATCGCACAGAGCAGCACAGGCGGCCCCGTCGATCCGGCATCGGCAGCTAACGGCAGCGCCAGCAGCAGCAACACTCTGCCAGCAATATCGGCAACAGTCGCCTCGGCAGCTGCCGATCTGCATAACACGCATCTCAATCAGCTGAGCAGCCTCAGTCAGCACTATACGACGCCCTACCATCATCATCACTACCAGCAACAGCAGCAGCAGCATCAGCATCAGCAGCAGCAACATCTACAGCAGCAACATCAGCAACACTACCAGCAGCAGCAGCAGCAGCAGCAGTCGCAGGCGGAGCAACATCCTCAGCATTGGGATTACTATGCGCGACAGCAACCAGCCGCGCCCGCCATCAATAGCAACAACAGCAACAGCAGCGGCAACAACAACAGCAGCAACAACAACAACAGCGGCAACGCCAACGGCAGCAACAGTGACAACAACAACAGCAACAATACAAATGTTGCAGCACCTTTGGGCAGCAGCAGCAGCAATGCTAATGGTCCTGCTGCCAGTGGCAACAATGGCCACGGCCTCGGCCACGCCCATAATCAGCACGTCCTCGGAGGACATAGTGATGCCAATAATCCCGTTGCTGCTGCCGCCGCCGCCGCCGTCGCAGCAGCAGTAGGCGCCAACGGCAACAACGCCAACGCCAACTCGAACTCAAACTCAAACTCGAACGGCAGCTATACACGTCCCTGGGAAATGGAGTCCAAGGACAGCGTGCCGCCCCAGAGCCAGCCACAGACGCAGCCGAAGAGCGGCTTTGAGCCCTTCTCAAAGCTGCCCTCATTCCAGAGTCAATTTCATGGCTACAACGATCAGCTGATGCCCGATGGCACGCCTATGCCCATGCCCATGCCGATAACAGCAGCCGCCGCGGCAGCAGCAGCTGCCGCCGCAGCCGCTGGAGCTGCCACTGCCAGTGGCACGGCCGGAATGAGCTCGCTCCAAACGGTTGCCATGTCGCCGGCCAGCATCTCGGTCAGTTCGCCCGGAATGATGAGCGTGGGCTCGCCGCTGACCCAGCTGCCAGGCATGCAGACTAGCATAACGCCGCCCTCGGGCAGCTTTACTCCGTTGGGCGCACCGCCGCCCCCGCCGAATGCATTTCATCACATGCATTCACATCATCGGGTGGCCGGAGCCGGAGCCGGCGCGTACCCGCTGATGCCGGCGGCTACAGCCGCATTTGGCGACCTGCAGCTGTATCAGCCGCTGGCGCCGGGCTTTGCGCCGCTGATCAAGAAGGAGCCGGGGGACGCGGCTGGCGCCGACTACGACATGCTAACGGGCAGCATGCTGCTCAAGAAGGAGGACTTTGATCTCAGCAACAGCAACACGCATCTGTCGCAGCAGCAGCAGCAGCAGCAACAGCAGCAGCTGCATCTGCAGCAGCAGCAACATGGGCACACACATCCCGGCCTGGGCGTGGCTGTGGGCATGCATACGCCCACATCGTACGACGGCAACAACAGCAACAGCTATCCACATGCCGCCAGCAGCAGCGGCAGCCACACGCCGCACACGACGCAGCCGCTGACGCCGACGCCGACAACAACGACGCCCCTCAAGGTGGAGAAGCTACTGCAGTCGCCCATAGCGCGGCTGGATGCGCGCAAGAAAGAGCGCCGGAAACAGCGGCCCAATTCGCTCGAGTCCAGCGCCGAGAGTGAGGCCAGCGGCATGGACGTGGATCCCAGCGGCGGCAATCCCGGACAGGTGGATGCCGTTTCCAGCACGGCCAACTTCAAGAGCCCGCTGAGCGCCCTCGGCATGGGCGACAGCAGCGATGCGAACGCCAATGGATGCGACAAGCAGGTAAGTTCAGCTTAATGGTGCGTCCCGGCGATAACTGGCAAACGCTGCGAATAATAGCAACACCCACCCACCATGACCTATCACCAACACCAACACCAACAATACCAACCCAATGCCAACAACCACCACTCCACCAACAACTCCTTCTCTTCTTCCGCCTCTGTTTTGCAGTCGAAAAAGAAGAGGAAGCGCTGCGGCGAATGCGTCGGCTGCCAGCGCAAGGATAACTGCGGCGAATGCGCCCCCTGCCGCAACGACAAGAGCCATCAGATCTGCAAGCAGCGACGCTGCGAGAAGCTCACCGAGAAAAAGGTAAGTCCACATATTCACACAATCATGCATGTATTCGACATAGCCAATCGGCCATTCAGCCATTCAGTTTTCACGCGATTCCCAGGCTCAGGTTCAAGCTCTGGCTCAGGCACTGTCTCTGTCTCTGGGTTGAGGCCCTGGGCCTGGCTCAGGCTTACGAGCATCCATTCAAAAAAGTTACTCAATGAAATCGACGCACACTTGTGCATCTGCTCAACGGCAACAGCATGATCAACGGTGCCACAGTGGTTTAAATCAAAGATCATATCATAATCAGGTTTCAAGATCAAAAGTGGATTTAAATATTTCGAATTTCATTTGAAGAACTCGTCTAGAAACCATTTCTTGAATAATAATAATAATAATAATAATAATAATAATAATAATAATAATAATAATAATATCGCAATCAGGTTTCATTGTTACCTTTTTAAAGATTTAAAGTTACATCAGCTATAATATTATAATCAGGTCTCGGGCATATAATGTACTCATTTACTAGAATTTTTGAGCTATTCTAAATCTTTTGGATCTCATACCTTGAATATATCTTAGATATTCGATTGAGATTATATCATATTCATATTCATTCACTCATATTCAGGCTTCAAAGATAAAAATTTAACAAATTATTTTGATTTTCTTCGGTTCTTTTAAGTCTTCAAAAACTTTCCCTACAATATCTTAGGGCTATAATCGTTTAAACGTTACTTATTAAATTACTTACTGCTGTCAGCAAAGCCTGAGCCTGACATCTGTCTAAGCTGTGGGCATAAAAAAGATTTCATTCAGTACGTGAAAAAAATCAACTCAATTTCTTGAGTAACCGTTCTATAAACATCTGGCCAGCCTGGATAACTTGTCAGAAAGGGGTTCGAGTGGGTGGAGCTAACCGAACTAAGAGTAGAGAACCTATGGAACTAACTGCTGCTGGAAATTCATAATTTTGGTAAAGTAAATATATTTTTGGTATGGTTCGTTTTGTGGTGGTTCCACTGTTCCACTGGTGGTGTCCAGTGCAAACTGGTTTCCTCTCCGTCGCTCGCGGCCACGCGAGTTCGCGCGGTCTTGCGCTCCAGCGGTCAGTCACTCAAGATTTATGTCAGCACAACAGATGTTCCAGTCGCAGCCAGTGCAAATTAATGCGCCCATCCTCTGTCCTCTCTGTTCAACGTCCAAATGCGTTCAACTGTCTCCGCCTCCACTTTCGCCTCTGCCGCGCCCTGTGCCTGGGTCGACGATTAACTAGTAACCTACAAGCACGTGTGTGTGTGTGTGTGTGTGCTTAAGTACTTGCGTACGTGCACTTGAGTGCATATGGAGCATTCGCGTGTCCTTAAGCTCGCCAGCTTCCCAGACAGCTGAGGCTGAGTTGCGTTCATTTTCCATTCAGGTTGCATTGCGTTTCGAAATCACTTAAGAGCCTAGCCGCAGACTGCGCATATCCTTAAAGAAAATCAGGTTACACACGCACACACGCAAACGAATCTGCATCTGAAACTGGGCCCAGTCGGATCCATTTTGGGATCTTAAGTGGTGGTTATGCGATGTCTTCATGTGAGCTGCTTGACAAGTTCATTGGCCGAGCACGGAGCGCAGGCGAGTTTCAAAGGACTGCGGAAGGACCGACGAATTCTATGTTGTTGTTTTTCAGAACGAAGAAATTCGGTGGTTCTAAAATCGATTTGCAATTCTATATGATATATCTCTCCTGCTCTAACAACTTGCATTTACCGAAGCCATAATTAAGGTCATGTCCACAGACGGACTCGCTTCCATTTGAACGCGCTTCGCACGTTTTAAAATCAAACGTAAAAGTGGAAACAGACAAGAAGTAAGAATAGCAACAACAGCAATGCGAATATGCCGTATGAAATAAAACAACAATAAAAACGATAATAACGAAACGAGGCAACAGCAACAGCAACAGCAAAAGCAAAAGCAACAGCAATAACAACAACAGCTACAACAAAAGAAAAGCAAACGTCGTTCGCAGCCGTTGCCGCCTGCAGGAGCAGATGTTCACAACATACATATACAAACGCTGCTCACACACAGATACTCACACACACACACACACACACACACACACACACACGTACAGAGTCAGACGGAGCGACAGACATAAATAAATAAGCAACTGAGCGCAACGTTTTGTCTCGCTGCCACGATCAACGCCGGCAGCGAAAGCAACAGCAACGCGCGCAGCGCTGCTTGCAGCGGCAGCAAACAGGAAACCGAAAAAGAAACGAGCACATCGAAACAGCCGGCATACGCGAGAGCGAGACAGCAGACAAGATAGTTAGGAGAGCGGAGACAGCGCGCGAGACTGGTCACACAATTAAGAAGGAGGTTGACAGGAGAACGCGGACAGCGCTGCGCCTGCGCCTGCGCCAAGCGTCACAAAAGGTTGTCAAACAAGAAAATGGCACGCAAAGAGACGAAGCTGTCCGCTATCTCTTGCCGGCCCTGCCCCTGCTTTTGCTCCCAATGACGACACACATAGATAAAGTTGTAAATTTTGCAGTCGCTGCGCCATCAGTTGACATGTCAATATATACTCTCAAACACACACACACACACGCACGCACATACACATGCATAAGTTGTAGAAGAGCAGTTGTTGGCAGCTCTTCCTTCCGCGCTTGCCACACAATTGACGCTTTATTTTATATCTTCCTCTGCTTTATCATCATCATTATTATTGCTGCTGTCCACCACACGCGCCCCGCTACGCATGTCCCATGCGTCGCCCGCCGCTTGGGAGGCGACTGCAAAAACAATACGCAAGACACTGCACAACATAACTTTAGTTATTGTTTATATTTGCGCACATACATATGAACTAACAGAAATCTTGTCTGGGAAAATAATCGAGGCCTTGTGAGCAGAGCGCATTGCGCTAAATATGTTTACATTTTAAATAAAATCTTAGGCATTTGGTTCTTAAATCAAGGAAATAATCTTAATGCAAGTTAAAGTTTTTTCTTGTTGTACGGTGTTTGGATATTCAATTTAGCAATTAAATGAAGCTTTTGATTAAACACATGTTTTCGTTCCTGTTCTACAAGGCTATTCGCTCCTTTGAGCTACATTATTCTACAACATAATCTTCTTTTACATAAGATTGAAGCTTTACAAGCTACCTAAACACCCCGTGTGTTGTGCAGTGTACGTCGCTGGTCCCCAAATTGTTGTTTCACAGTGTTGATATGTACACAGACATATTTATAATAATAATAATAATATTGTCGTCTTGTTTCTTTTGTTTCGCGGATGTTCTGTTCCCAGCGCTGGCTACAGCTGGTTGGCCATATTTTCGGCATATTGTTGTGATTACATATCGATTGTTGTTGTTGTTGGTTGCTTGTTGTTGTTGTTGTTGTTGTTGTTGAATCGAATGCGGATCAATGCACTCCTGACTTATTGCTGCGGTATCTGTGCAGCTCTTGTAATTCGATATGCGCCCTTTGCTGTCAGTTTGGCGAGTTTTTCAGTTTCGGTTTTCGGTTTCTGGACGAACGGGCAGCTGGTCACACTCCAAGCGGGCCCTCCAATGGAGCTCGTTGTCTGTTTTTTACTTTCACAAATCAGGTCCGAGAAAAAAAGATAAATAAAAAATAAAATGCCTGAAGCACAAGTCATTAACTTGGCTATTTGAATTGAGGGATGCTTCCTGTCGCAGTTCCTTTTGGCGTGTTCCTTTGCTAGCCTTAAATATGCAGTTTTCTTAGGAATTTTCTCATTAAAACGCTTTTTTCATTTCGCATTTTGTATTCTTCCTATTCTTTTTTTTGGTCGTCAAACGACTGGCAAATAAGGCAAATCAACAACAACAACAACCAAAAAAAAAATAAAAAAGAAGAGCAAATATTAAAAGGCGTCTGGTCTAAAGAAAGTCGCCAAAAGCAACTCCCCCAAAAGGCGGCAACGGAACGCGCAACCTTTGAGGGGCTTTGGTTTGGGTGATTGAGTTCGTGGTGCCTTGGGTGCGGCTGGTGGACTTTTTCGCATTGTCCTTGGCTAAGACTCTTTCAATTTCACTTTTGTGGCCGCCCGCTGTGGCCCCCGCCTGCTCTGGCGGTTGGCAACTTCATCAAACTAAATGCACTCCACTAAACTAACCCTAACTCTAAGCCAGCCCGAACAGCTTAAAGGTTTCACTTCATGCATACCAAATGCGTGCGTTTACAAAATGCATGCGAGCCATGAAAGTATCTCGCACTAAGTACACGCCACATATCCAGCAACAACAACAGCAACAACTACAACAAACACGTGCAACCACGGGGAGTGCAATGCTCCTACTTGAGCACACTCCGTTCGTGACATACTCCCAGCACCAGGACTCGGCCTCGTCCTCGTCCTCGCCCTCATTGCTGCCTCAGGCCTCTGGCACACATCCACTCGCAGGCCCAGCTCGCATATTGGCACGTTGGCTTTACAAACTCCTGGAAAACAGGATAACGTACACACACACATACACGCAGAGACCGACACACTTGATACTTGAGCAAATGTTGTTGTTGATGATGAGCTTCTTTTTTGAGCTTCATTATCATGGATGTGTGCGTGTGAGAGTTTGTATTAGTATCTGTGTTGTGCAATCTGATATTATGTCGTGGTGTTGTGCTTGCTCTTGTCTCGCTCCATGCATATCCAGTTGCAAGAGAACCTCTCTCTCTCCCCCTCGACCGTCACTTAGCCCACACTCCCTCTCCCACTCTCTCTTTTTGTATAGATACGTTTTTATTAGAGTTTTGCTATTTCAAATTTCTGGCAGTTTTCAGCAATTTTTGCAGCTATAATTGACGCTTATGGCCAGGTGCTCTTCAGTCGCACAATATTGCTTCAATCAGTCAATTTGTTGCTACAATACACACATCTACAGACGCTCACACACACACACACTCACAGAGAGAGAAGCATGCTCCTCGAGGCAGAGATAGAGTTCATTGCACCAAATGGAAAGACAAGCTCATGAGCCGCTGCGTCCAGTTGCAGGCTTTGTGTGTGCCACAAATCCGATTGAATTTTTGTTTTATTTCCTTTGCGCTGCTCCAAATGCATATTCATCTGTCGAATACACACACACGCACACACACACACACACACACACAGATAGAGACAAACATCTGCATTTGTTTCTCGGTTGCCTGCACATCTGCTCGCATTGTTCTTTTTATTTTTCCTGTTTTCTTTCCTGAGCCTCAGCCTGAGCTCCGGCTGCGACTGCTTTGTCCTGCTCTCTAGGATTTACAACAAACGTGCCGTATTTCTGCTGCACTTACTTTGCTCCGTGCTCACTCTGATATATTCATATTTAATGCACGCACGCTTATAAGTAAATATCCCATGTACATCAATATATTAACATATACGCTAGACAAAACTATTTGTGTGTGGGTGGGTGGGGGGGGGGGGGGGGGGGGGGGGGGGGGGGGGGAGGAGTGCAACTTTTAAGCAGCTTATGTCCAACTAAAGTCCACAGTTTACCATATATGAGAGATATGCTCTATACACACACATATGTATTTATATTCATTTATATATATATATATGAATTTATCCATCTCTCTGGCTCTGTGTTTTCAAATTAAAACTCTATTTTATAAATGCCTGTCATTGGTCATACATGGTATATGGTCCTTTTTTGTTATTTTCTCTTTGGATTATATTATTTTTAGTTGCCTCATTTAATTCGAATCATTGCGAATGGCTCTGCACGCTCGAGTGTAGGTTGCTGCTGTCATGACAGCCAATTAGAGGGTTTTATTTATATTAATGCACATGTTATAAAATGCTTTTTCGAGTGTGCATTAAAACTGTTTTTTTTTTTTCTCTCTGCATAAATAGGCAGGTGTTTTTTCTTAATTTTAATTACAAATTGCATTTTTTATAATTTTATGCGGTGCACACATGATTTTAATTTAAATACATTTTTTCTATTTAATTGCAGGAACCCAAAGCCAAGCCCGTATGTATTCACATTTGATACCATGTTTGTATATTATTTAACACATTTATTTGCATTTCATTTATAATCATAACTAAACACATTTAAATTTACCCAACACAAGCAAAGTATTCAATCAGCCTTAGATAACACAATTAACAAGATAAGATAGTATACGATTCCAAGAAGTTCCTGAAGTTTTATAGATATGCAAGGCATAGTTATATAAACTGTGTGGCTCGAGGTCTTATCAAGCTTATGCTTCGATTTGTGTATAAATGAATTATAGCTAATTCATTTTTATCAGAGGCTTCAGCTTAAGAATACCTTGTTTATCATCAACAACTTCCATACCCTGTTCCAGGATAAGAATACCTAATACCTGTAGAAGCCTTCAAGGCTTTGCTTAGATAGCTCTTTCAATCTTTTTGGATCATTTTCCGGATCACAGAATCTATGTGAGATTTTTATATAATTTCTTGAGTTATTTGACCTTGAGCATAATGTCTGAGGCGTGCGCTGAGTGCCCGAATGTACCCCTATAAAATATTATGCAAATAACTCTTTTTTAGTTTCTCATTGTTTTCGGCAAATGTATCTATGTATCTGTTGAAGCTGCTGTCTATCTATGTGCTCTTCGCTTTGTGTGGCAGATTCTCTCTGTCTCTCATTTGGTTTTTTACCAGCACATTGTTTTTTTTTTTATCAAGCGCATAAATTAAATAATAAAACGATTATGTGTGTGTTGGTGCAATTCTATGCCTATATGCTTGAGTCTGTGTGTGTGTGTGTGTGTGTGTGTGTGTGTGTGTTGTCTGTCTGTGCAATTGAATGCTTTTGGGCTGTAGTTGCCGTTGTTGCTGTTGTTGTTGAATTCATGAAAATGATTTGCTGCCGTTGCCTCGACGGCTGCATATGTACACGATGGTTGTTGATGGGCTGCTGTTGCTGCTGCGGCTGTTTCTGTTGCTGCTGCTGGTGGTTGTTGATGACAATCATTCATTCGACTAGTCGAAACTGTGTGTATATACATGCACATGTGTGCCCAGGCACATTTATATAAATCTGCGCTGATTATAATGCGTTGTTAAATTTTAATAAATAAATGTTCACATCCTTGTTAAGCGCACATTGAATGCGACAACAGCGCGGCAATCGCAGAAGAGAAAAAACACGCCGTGCATTGATTAAAAGGCTAAAAACAGCCAGCAGAGCACTAAATGCAAATGAATGTTACATAATTGTGCAAGCGACGCATCGCTGCGTATACTTAATGGAGAATTTGCATGGCAAACGGCAAACCTCAGCCAACACAAGGCTAACCCCAGTGGCCAAGACGCCTCATGCCTTATCCTTGTAACTAGTTAAAGGACAAAAGTACCGCATTGTCTACTCTCTCTCTCACACACAGTCACACACATACAGGCGTGCGCGTGCACGCACACTAACGAGCAGAAAATGCGCCACTGCATTTTCACTTGGCGTTAAAAATTGCAATGCAAATAATTTTCGCATTTGCTCATTTTAATGAGACAAACTGCAAGGAAAGCCAGAGACAAAAAAAATAGAAGGTAGGGGATCACGATAATGAAGGCCAGGGGTTAGGTGGGTTGCAGGTTAAAGGGTGCAGGGTGACTGCTGCAAACGAGGTTAACAAGCAGCAGCTGGCAGTAAATAGATATGCAATTAAGCATTCTGGTTATTGTTTATTAATAAACAACAACAACAGCAACAATAGCAAGCAACAGCTCAGAGCCAAAAATAGCAAATACGCCCGCTAATTGCCGGGGCAACCAAGAAGGAGACAGCAAACAGCGAGAGAGATCGAGAGAGAGATAGATAGATAATCGGACTGACACGAAAAAGAGCGAAAATATTTTTCCGCTTGCGACCATGCGTTGCATTTCAAGGATACAGGATACAGAAACACACACACTCGCGCACACACACAGACACAGAAACATACACATATTAGCACATTTAACCCTTTTTACATTTCTATTTTTGAAGTGCATTTCGCCCTGCAAGCGGCGCATTTTACTGTCCGTTGGCTCAATTTAAATATCAACGATGCATGGCCGAAACGGTCAGGGCAACTGGCTTAAATACCCTGCACAACAAGAGCGACAACCACATTGCATATCTATTTCAATAATTGGATATGTAACAGGCCGCAGAAGCAGCGAAAATACAGTAAAAGTTCCCTATGACGAACACATCTTATAACATAACAAATAGACAGCGAATATACAGTGAAAGCTCCCGATGACAGACAGCTCCTATATTAAATATCACCTCTTCAAGATCTCTTTGCATACGAAATGCATTCCCAGAATCGAATGCTCCAAGAAATGTAAAAGCCAGTGACTGTCGAGTTATAAGAGTTTTCGCTGTATAGAACTCTAACCAGCGCTTACTACAAAATATTTGCAGAAATATTGAAATTGAATTTTAACTGAAATGAGTTTTTGTTTTATGCCCGAAATTTTTCACAACCAATTTTGGTTATAAGACAGTGCGTAGCATCTTTCGGGTCGAACAGTTGCAAGTATATCATTTGTACTTGTTGGTTTTCTCCCAATGTGTGTGTGCGCATGTTTGTGTGTGTGTGTGTGCAAGGTGCAATTGCAGCACATTTTTCAGCTTGACCGATTCGTTGAGAGTGCGACCCTTCGGTCTCTGGCAATGCGGCAACAACCAGGCACCCCAGCAACCGAATGAAACGAAGCGTTTGTCAGCTAAACAGCAAAAGGGTTGCGCACATAGCTAAATAATGCCACACACATGTGGACAGAAGTGTTGGGTGTTTCAGCTGTTAGCTTAGAGGGTCAGCAGGTTACAGGTTACGTGGCGGGCACCTAATTGCAGCCAAAACTAAATAAGAGCTCAAATTAAGCCCGTAAGGCAAAACACACACACACACACACGAATTCGGGGTGTTTCGTGTTGCCGCAAATCCATTTAAGCGCTAAGTTAGCCCGAATCAGAATGGAAACAAATAAGAAAACGACATTTTCAATTTTCAAAAATGTTGCAGCTCCTTCCCCTCCCAAACAAAAAGAAGAAAAATCAAGAGAATATGAAAAAGCTGAAGTAAAAGTTTGCTCCCAAAGTGCCTATCAAGCAGCACAAACAACAACAACAACAACAGCTTGGCATATCTTTTGATTGCATTTTGACAACAACAACAAGCAGCAGGTTTTTGGCATATTGTTACAAAAACAAAGCCGCACTTTGAAATCGATTTTTGATTATTTTATGTTATCATTGCGTTTGCGACGTTGTTACGTTTCTTGTTTATATACCCTGTAGCATCAATGTTGCTGGGCATAGGCGACTCTGAGTTAAGAGGAAGCATTAGCAGAGCCATAAATAACTTTCTTATGCTTAGTTTTTTATCTAAAGTGGCTAGAAAAAATAAGTGTTTGGGTAGCCAGTTTTCTTTAGGCTGAGTCTTGCTTAAACATGTATTCCTTTAAGCCAAACCATTTTTGTTCGTTTAGTTTTGGTTGCAGCTTGGCTGGTTTCTTTATAAGCTAAAAAATATATTGGAACTTTTAGGTTGAACCGATTCAGCCCGGCTTACATTCTTAATTTGTATACCTTTCACTCAGCTGAATGTCAATGTATATTAATTCTTTTAATTCTGGAAAAAAAAACTTGATTTATCTATCAAGCAAATGCATCAAGTCACAGCCTTTTCTAGATTTTGTTAGTCCTTTCCTTTTATATATAGTAGGAATATAATCTGCCATGCAAAGCACAACCACAACCAGACATTCTCTACATCTAAACTTATATGCCGCAATGTTTAGCCCTCTTTCTATAGGATATCCTAATATTCAACATTGCTTTTTCTTTATTTTTGCTTTTCCTGTGAGCCCTTGTACTGTTGTAAATTCAATTTAATTTTCTTAAATAATATTTGAGACAATTTCGCATGCATTACGCGTTGAGTTTGGAATACAATTTTTGTATTTTCCGGCAGTATATTTTCTCATGTTTACTTTCAATAACTTGCGTGGGTTGGGGCGGGGCAACTAGGGTACAAGGGCAGCGGCTGTTACTCACGCCAAATTCGATTCGCGCCTGAACCTGACAACAAACAAACAACAGCAACAACAACAACAACAAAAAAAGACAGCAAGATGAAAATTTCGTGTTGTTTTCCCTATTTATTTTTATTTATAGCTGAGAGCCTCTTACTTTTTGTTATATTTTTTGCATTTCGCGGCTTTTGTTTGTCGGCGCAAATTGAAAACATAATTGAAACAATAAATTCGATGCGCTCTGCCAGCGCGAATATCTCTTCCAGCGAAAGAGTTGCGGGGCATTTCCATTTTCAATTCCAATCAGCGCTGTAACGTGTTTGCCAAACTAGGAAATTAGCTGGCGATACATTTTTCCAATACATTTCACGCGCTTCAGCCAACTTCTGGCTAAGAGCGAAAAAAAAGAAGAAAAATCAATTTAATTTTCTCCGATTTTTTCTTACCGTATTTTGACTTTGAGTCCAACTAAAAGTTGTGCCTGCCTGGTCCTGGTCCTGGTCCTGCTTGGGTCCTTGGCTTGGGTGCCGGGCAACGCAGTCAAACAAGTCAAGTCATTTACTAAAGTACGAAAGTCCTGGCGTGCATAAACATCCCTTAACGGGCGCTGTTGCTGCTGTGTGGGGGTGGTTTAGAGCAAAGAGCACGGGCATAAAAACGAAGAAAGCTGCAAAAAAAAATTATAAAGAAATGTTTTCAAAAAGGCAGCAACAAAACAACGACAGCAACAAAACAACAAAAACCTGCACATAAAATGCGCTAAAAAATTTCACGTCACGTAGCTGGCGATAGTTGTTTTTGTTGTTGTTGTTGTTGTTGCCTTACATGAAAACGCTGCAGTGTAGCAAACACAACAGCAGAACTTTGCACTTAGCACGCATTCACACACACACACACATACACTCGCACACACACACTCGCGCACACGTGCTAACAAACAATTTAGCGCTTGCTGCATTTACAAGCCCAAAG